ACACACACACACACACACTATATATATATATATATATATATATATATATATATATATATATATACATGCATATATACACGTGTGCGCATTAATTTTTTTTCAAAAACAAAATAGTTCAAACAAATTTTTTTCTTAAAGATATTATTATAAATAAATAATATTTGGGTTACATAAAAATTATTTATAGTTTACAAACCTATAATCATAGCAGGTACAGCTATACCAGCAGCAAGACCAATTCCAACTGGAGCTCCTACTAAAGTCCCAAGTTGCCAGAGTATTTTCTTTTTTCTAGACCATGGCTTTTTACCCCAAAAGGTACAACCAGATGGACTATAATATAAAATATATAAAATAAAAAATTATTAAAATAAGATTTTATATAATAATAAATATGTTATACCTTAAATAATGAAGATCACTGATTCTTTCATACATAACCAACAAAATTCTGCACCACAAACAGCACAAACCATATGATTGCAACTTCCATCATCCATTTTAACAATAAGCACTTGACATCTTGGACATGGTTTGACATCATCTTCTGTAAATGTAATTTTTTTAAAAATATATTTTACGATTATTTATTTAAAATAAATAATTTTTTTAGAATATTTATATCTTTCATATATTATATTAATTTAACAATTTTTATAAATGATACATACTATGCTGTGAATCACTTTGACTAAAACTGAGAGATGAACTGCGTTCATAATATTGAGTACGTTGAGCTCTAGCAGCATCACATGTCTGATTAGGATGCCAACGTGCTTTACAATGATAACAAAAATAAGAATCGCACCCTGGCCGCTCACAACGTAACTTCGGACATGAAGCACAACCACTAGCAATAACGGCAAAGCTACAATCTGGTGCAGGACACCATCTCGCATCAGGTTCTACAGCAAGAACTCGTCGTACCATAAAATCTTCATATTTCTCCAATTGCGTTTGGTCATTTAAAATCATTCGAATGTCTATAAAACAATAAATTCAATAAAAATAGTGATAACAAAAATTAAATTCTCTTTATTAGAAAAATATATTTACCATTTGGATGAAGTGGCTCTGAACATTCAGGACATGCTATATTAACTCTAGATTCTGAAATTTCTACTTTAAGATATTGTTGATAACAGTCATAACAACTGCGATGGTGACAAGACTGAACAACAGGAAAAAATTCCATTGGTAATTCAGCCAAACATAAAGGACACTCCATTAAACCATTTTCATTACTCTAAAATAAAACTTATTTTACAATCTAAATATCACTTCAAATTATCAATTACTTAATTTATATTTTTCTAAAGTTTCAGGTATATATTCTATAAATACCTTTCCGGCAGAAGGAAGTATAGAACCTTTGCTGGAAGCACATTGTAGATCTATGTTCTGAAATTGAAAATGGCTCGAACCATTACTTACTCTGGCTTCTCCTTTTTCAACATCAGTAATCTTCCCACCAGTTGGATCTTTTGCTAAAAAATAATTAAGATTCAAAAAAAAAAGTTATTTTATATTTATTTCAAATTAAGTATTATTTATTACTTTTTACATTCCTGTTGTTTGAACTCGGTGTCCTCACAATTCGACGACCAATAAGTGGACTCGAATATAATAATCGACGTAAAGAAAATCGTGCTAACATTCTTCGTGGTCGAGGAGCTGTACTGCTACAGCCTCCAGAACTGCTATCATTTTCTTTAAACATCCTGAGTAATATTACAAGTTACTGTCTCATTCTCTGTTTCACAAGGATAAGTCAATTCAATCTATATTAAATCATATAAAAAAAAATTCAGAATTAGAATTTTCAAATTAATTTAACGTATATATCAATATTCTATAATCTATTATATATTATATAGTAACTAAAAGTGATATATTAAATGATAAGATATGATATATGTTATTTATATATTATTATCTAATTTATATAATAATATAAACATATTAAAAATATAATTAAAAAATATAAAAAATATAATTTATAAATTATCGATTACGATAAGCGATTATTTTTTTCTATTATAAACATATGTATTATATTACATATAATTATATTGATCGCATTTAAACAAAAAAAGAAGTTCTTATGATTATTTTTTTCCAATAATATCGCAAAATTAATTTCAAAGTAAATCTTTTTTAGATTATAAATTATTTATTAGTAATAATAAACATAACGAATATATGTGTACGTATATATCCGTCATATAAAAATTCATTATAAAATATATAAAATTTTTATATATTATTATCGGACCTTAATAATTCATATAAATTTATTATTTTTTTATAAATTCACTTTATATTCGATTTTTTATATATATATTTTACTACTTACATTAAAAAAGAAATTATGTAGTTTGTCACGGCAGTTATCATCAATTACGATTTTTTTACATTTATGAAGAGTATAAATATTCAATATTTTGAAATTTTTAATATGCAACATAAAATATTGTAATATAAAAGATTATTGCTATTTATCTTTTATAAAACATAAGTCAAATATTATAATATTATATATTATATCCAGTTATTTCTCTTACCGAATTGTATAAATCCAAATATCCAAATGTTATAATATAATAACCCAATGTTATGTCTAATTCACATAACATTGAAGAAAATAATATATTGAAAATATAAATTAGTAAATCAATTCCAAAATTGTATTTATGAAACAATTACGAGGTATGAAAAACATTTAATGCAAGTTTTTATAATATTATATTTTACCTCACTTCACTCGATGTACTTGTAAGTTGATAAAATAATGATCTTTTTATAAATATAAATATAATTATAATTAATGCAAATGTCAATTTTGTAAGGGATGCAAAATAATCGCCATTTGCAATAGCTTAAATTTACATGTACATTATATAAATACATGTATATTATATATTATACGTATATGTACATACTATATATGTACATATACATATATATGTTTTATTAAAGTTGTTTTCTCATTTAAAAATATTATTAAATTTTAATTAATTAATGAATATTAAGGCAACTGAAAAAAAAGCACAAAAACACGTTTGAGTCGAGTACTGAGAAACCTTACACATAGATGACTAGCATTAATACAGGTGTGGAAAGTTCACGAGCAAATACCAATTGAAGTTAAGCTAATCAAAACGTATTATAACGTACCTGATTTCTGTTAACTGATATTTTCAAGCCTATAAAATCTTTAGTAACTAATAATAGATTCACTATTATTATAATCACCCACTATTGATAAGTTTCACTTATTTTGTTGGTTAAGAATGTTCACTTGACACAACAGCTGACGGCTTCTGACTAAACGTATCATGCACATAATTTAGATGAGAAACACAGTGAATAAAATGAAGAAATATATATACAGCGCCCCTATATGAAAATATTTATTAAAATATTGTTCAAATTATAAATTCCCTAATTTAAAAGTAATATATAATTTTTATATTAATTATTGATAATGATTTTATTTCAAATAAAATATTTAATTAAAAAAAAAGTTAATATTTAATCATTATAAAAAAAATTTTTACAATTTTTAATTTAATATTTAGTTGAACGTATATATTTATATTAACGAAATAATTTTTATTATTTTAATAAATGTATTATTTTAATAAATTTTATAAATTTTAATTATTATATAATATATAATAATTAAATTTCATTTAGAAATAAAGAATAAAATATTATTATGTAATTTGATTTTTTAAATCAATAACCCAATATTTATATCAGATTTATATGAAATAGTTTTATAAATAATTCATTAATTTTATTTTTATATTTGTATTATTATTTGTTTGTCTATTATTGTTGATATTATATTTTAAATATAATTAAAAATTATATTCCATGAATAAAATAATTCATAATAGTTTTAAATATTTTGTAATATTTTTATGTTTTTTATAAACTTTATATTTTTGAATTTAAAAAATTTAAAAATGTATTTATTTGCAAATATTGTTTTATTTATTTGTAATTTTTATTAATTTTTAAAAATTGTAATATACATTGTAATTAAAAAACAATTTGTAACTATTTTATTTAGAAAATAAATTTTAAATAAAATATAAATATATTAAATGTAATTTTATAATAAAAAAATATTTTATTTTTTCCACAAAAGCAAACACAGTATCATAGTAAATATGTTAACGATTAATGATTTATTTAACAATAGACATACGTAAAAGTTCATATTTATTAAGTGAATCGAATTCTCTTATTCAGAACTTTCTTTTAATTAAATTATAATTTAATATATTTTTAATAAATTTAAAAAATTTTAATTTTATAAATTAAATGATTTTTGTTGATTACTTTAAATTAGAATGAAAAAATTATTTTGTTCATGTTTGCATTTTTATATTAATATTTTTGTAATTATAAATTAAATTATAATAATTAAATATTATTAATATTTTCAGACTAAGTTCCATGAGAAAATTAAGCGTAATAGTAATTATTTTTAATAGAAAATATGTTACGGAAATTAGGGATAGGGATAAAGATTGTAGTTTAAAACGACTGTTAAGATTAAAAAACGATTATCAATGTTTCGAAAAAATTGTGGTTCATCATACTAATGACCGCTCTATGTACAGAAATGTTTTATTCTTAAATTATGCACAAATTGCAATCAATACAAATGTATCTGAAACAAGCAAGTTGGGGGATGTCTCAGTTTTTTTTGCTGCCATGAGAATATTCAGATAAAATGGCAGCTGTTTTGTTAGATGTCAATGTGTTGCATTAACCGCCATGCGTTTTTGCAAAATCCTTAAGACATGTCCGATTAATTGTTGTCATATCCGGAAGAAAAGGCAGCTGTTTTAAATTGACAGATAATGTTTCATATTTCACTGATAATCAATTTAAAACAGTTAGCCATATCTATTTTATAGCTTAGTATAGTAAAGCTAGTTTATTTTTTCAGACATTCACATTTCGACTAAGTAGTATTATAGTAATAAAGGTATGCGCTAAGTCTGCACTTCAGCTAGATATCATAAAACATGTATCATTCCTTCTCTGGCACATCATACATTGGTATTACTAAGTATACGTTTACTTTCTTTTTAAATCATGCGAAACAATGCAGAAACGAACGTCATATCAAATCCTAATATTTGATATAGTATGCTTAGACTGTAATAAAAAAAACTAAATTACATGAAAAGTGAACTCGGAAATAAAAACCGACTTCTTGTACACCCATTTGTTTTTTTTACAATCAAATAAGTCATTTTAGCATCATGGTATTATTAATCAACACTCAGTATTGAAACATAAAATTGAAAATCTAGTGTTGTTAAATAACTCTAGTAATAATCGTAACAAAAAAAAAAAAAAAAAAAAAAAAAAAAAAAAAAAAACAATCTTGTAGTAAATAGAAGGAACATCATTGGGAACACCTTTTAACCAAGACTTCATGCAGCTGCCACCTACCATTGTTATAATTAACAATGGGAATCCATTTTTTCTTTCATCATATCATGTTTCGTCCTAGTTTTGTCGCAAAATGCTTTATACCCAGTATGTTCAATTATTGTTTTTTTTGTTTTTATATATGAATATAAAATAACACAAAACACGTACTTTTGTTCATATGTCAAAAATCTTTATTACAATTATTGCAATGATGTAAAAGATAAAAAACAAAAAGAAAATGAATAAAATTGATTAAATCCTGCGTTTTTGTACGTATTGTGTTATTTTTTCATAATAATAGCGACACATCTAGGCGAAAATTATTCAAATTGATAATTGACATACGAGCCACAAATATCCAGCCTATTATTAGATCTTTTTTCAAGTGATTAAGAAGTACTTCACAGTACATCCAAATTACTGTCACACAAGTTGGGAGCTTGGTATAAAAATGAGGCACAGTTTCACAATCAGGGGATTCTTTTTAGATGCTTCTACTATCTCCCAATGAATGTATCCATATATCAAACATGATAGCATAATCACTATCATTAAACTAAACCATGCATGGATATTAATATGTGTCCTTAAATGTGTTTAAGGAGAATGACGATTTCTTAAACAACAGTCGTATTCTTATCGGTAGCAAACAGTCTTAACAACGAGCGTAGACTAATCATGTCGCGATCCATAATCGTGTAGTCTTTGCGTAGGTATGCGTCATGTTATGTGCTGGGTGTTAATAGCTCTCATCAGGTGTAATGTTATATGTAAGTAGCAGTTGTCGACCATAATGATTGTTTAGCCACTGGTACCGTTAACCAGAGCTTCCTTAGGCTTATTGCTCTGTTGCATACGACGAGACCGTAATTCTCTTTGGCCTTTAGGCCCTTGGGAACTGTTGTTAGTAGTAGAAACGTCATTGGCTGGTGTTCCTTCTTTACTAGTTACAGTTGATTGGTCTCCTGGACCGGCATTGCTGCCTAAACAAATATATAGATTAACTCTGAGTGTTACTGTATATTAACATTAATACGCATTCTGAAACATATTTAATATTGCACTTACGCTTATGTTATATTAATACCGATCGTCCTAAAGAAATAAATCCTTTTTAAATTTCGCGTAATTACCTTTTTGATTATTTGTTGGTGTAGAACTACGTTGTCGAGAACGTCGAAGTCGTCTTCGTCTTATGCCTTTAGGTCCTCCTTCCACACTTGATACAGATTCTATGCATATGCAAACCATTGTGACCATCTTTTTATAAAATATAAAAGTACTACTGAAAATTAAATATTTTTGTGACTGATTATATAAAAAGCTACATTTCACATACGTTAGTAGCGTGCATTAGTAATCATCATCGATATTGTTAGTGTTAGATGGTCACAAGTGTTTGTTTCACAATCCATGCCATTCTCAAAGGATTTTACTAATCTTTAGGACGAAACGGCTGTTCTACTAAAATATTGGGAAAATATTGTTACCTCTATCAATACTTGAAACGTCTTGACTATCGAGAACAGTATCTTCATCATCTGTTGTTCGACGACGTTCATCTCTACGATCTCTACGTTGAGTTGGAGGACGACCTTGTCTACCACCCATATACCCTGAATTGCCTGCACCTCCTTGATGGCCACCTCTTGGCGGTAGATCCCTTACTCGATCTTCACTACCATCTAAGGTGTCTCGGCGTAATCCTGTAAATTAAATCAGATTTATAACAAAAAAACAAGTTAAAATTTGAATGTAACACGATGAACACAAACATTTTAATGATTTTGTAAAACAAATGAAATGATGAAAGATTAGTATCCTTACTTGTAGTCGATGATGATCAATGTAGCATTTAACACATTATCAATGATGTTTTCCATTATAATAACTAAGGGTATTAATTGGGAGTGAAGAGGCATCTTTGGAATCAAGCTCACTAATTTTTTAATTTCTTCTTCTACCGTTAATATTTATATTTCCATAAATTTATACAAATTTAAATGAAAACTAATATATTAATGTAGTATTAAATCACAGAATATAGTTTTATTGAATTACATTAATGTAATTAAGAACATTTGTAAAATACTTGTGATTGTTACTACCTAATATTTTATAAGTTAAAAATCAGATTCACGTGGAGTATTTTACAAGGTAAATTTTATTACAAAACGTATATAAGTACATTTTTAATAAAAATAATAACATAATTGCTTCTTAATTTCTTATTTATCAACTTGCAAACAACCTATATAGTTAAGACAACATTCAATTTTGTTAACGTTTAAAAAGCAATTAAAGTTAATTACATTCAATGTATTATTTAACTAAATGAAAGATTCAAAAGTCGTTATATACGTACATGTCATAAATTTGACGCGGCATATTCGTTAATCCATAAAAAGTAGTTACTCTTAAGATATATAATACGTGATTAGACAATTCGCACACAAAACAATATTATGTACTTTATTTATTTCTCAATAACCAATAAATCAAATAAATCACACACCGTGAGTTACTTAGCTACTACATGCATTTCCATTAAACACATACATGCAAATGCATATGGTTGCAGTTATTTTCTATTATAATTCCATGTTCTATGTGATGACATGTTTACAAATGCGAATTGTGAATATATCTATAGATATTAATTGAGGAAGTATAAAGTAATTATGACAAAAACAATGAATTACGAATAACGATGTACGATGAAAAACTAAATAGCTGAAACGGTTTTATAACAAATATAGCTTCAAATCTATATAATTAAACAATGAAAGGCATTAACGACTATAAAAAGATATTAAGATCAAATCTGATTTGAATAAATGAATTATTTTAACGTTAATAATAATAAAAATCATGAATAAATTAATACATGAAGAAAAAATTCTCTTTGTATATGTTTTGATCATTATTTTTTATGCTTATATTGATAAATTTACAAATTTGTAAGCTTTCAATTTATTAAATGTAATAAAGTAAACTTTTAAATCATTTAATGAGTATTTCCAAGAATAAATTACAGTAAAAACTCGTTTATCCGAATCTCTAACATTAAATTGTTTTATTTACTGAGCTCAAAAAAGATTCTTTAGAAAATATTTATCAATTCAAAGAAAAAAATATTTTTATAAGTTATATATTTGAATGTAGAGCTATATATGTAATTTATTTTATCTATTAACTTTTAGATATTAAGAAATATCTAAATACATCAAATTTTTCTATAGATTATTAAAAATGAGCAGTTTATTATATAGTAAAAAATGGATTAAATTATGACAAATAATATATGAGACAAAAAATATATTTGCACTGTATTGGGTAATGAATGAACTAGTAGGTGGTAGCGGGAATATCGAATGATATCCTGATTTTTATTTATTCAAACTAAAAAATCATCCCGCCAAATCCGAATAACTGAGTTTCTACTATAAACCTTGTATAGTAATAATCCTAGCACTGTTTCAACAAATTATTGAATGTTACTTTGTGACAACACGCCCTCTGTCTTTAAAATCTCTGGGTTCTCTACTGTCTCTCGTGTTGGATCCACCGCTTCTGCCATTACGTTTTTGTGTGTTCTCTACATTGTTGATATAGTCAGTAATAGTATTACCAGCATTGTGTCTGGCGGGAGCCCTACCCCTGCCACCACGTCCGCGAGATTGACCACCACGACCTCCACGGCCTCCACCACCTTCTTCTGGGCCTGTAATCATTCCTCGTCTTGTTGGAGGAAAGTTGGGCATTGGTCCTGTGGTCGATCCATGCATATTTCTTAATTGTTGGTCAATTTCTAATTTTTCTTGACGTAATTGTTCTACTTCCTTTAAGTCAAATAATAAAAAATTATAACAATAATAATTAAATTATATTATTTAAAATATATTATACATATATTTCATGCCATTATACCTTCAAATGCGCCAAATGATATTCCAATAACATTTTGGCATTAGCAATACTTTCAACAGTACCAACAAATACAAAGGGTACTTGACCCTCTTCTCTTGGAATTGTTGGTTGAGGTTCATTATCACCTTCTATCTTAACTCGTACCTAAAATTTATAATTTTTAGAATTATTTTGTTAACTATATCATTAATAATTATTTTCATTAATTTTTATTTATTTTAATTATTATATCTATATATTTATAAATTATATTAATTTTATTTTAAATTAATATGAAAATTATTTTTGATAAAACCAATAAAACTATGTTCAACATATTTTTATAAACATTTAAAAAAATAATTAATATAATATAATACTCACCACACCACTTTTATCAACAATTTCTTGTATTATGCGACCATTTTTTCCAATTACTTTGCCTACCAAAACACGTGGTACTTGTATAGATTCTTCACTATATTCAAGTAAAGAGCGAGCTTTTTTAACTGCTTCATGTGTCTGTAATTAAATATGTATTCAATGTTTCTTTATAGAAACGTTATTTAAATAAATTTAATTATTTTATAATAAAATATAATATAATAAAAAAATAATAAATATTTCTATTTTTACCTCTCCATATATTTTAAATGTGCATGAATTTTCTTCTAATTCTATATTTGTAATTCCATCAACCTTCCTTGCCTGCTGAATATTTGCCCCATGTGCACCAATTGCTAAGCCCATCAAGTCCTCTCGAACATTAAACTCATCTGTGTATCTAAAAAACAAAATTTTATCTTACATATATAATTTCAGATATATATAATTTTTTGTTCTTTATTGAAATATTACAGAATCTATAATAAAAGAATATAACTTATGTTTAATTAAATCTAAACAAATTCAAAATGATTTAATAACATTTTAATTTTAAAATATCATCTAGATTATATTATTCAATTTTTTTATTGATATTATAAATAATACTAATATAGCAGACAAATAACAGTTAGTTATGTAATATATTTTTAATATATGCTAATATTACTGTATAATAGAATCTTAATGTTTAATAACATAAAATTATGGTTTTCATTAGTAACATGCAATTTTACATTATTATACATTATTATATTACAGTACAGTGATAATATGCTTTAATTAAATTTAAATTCTTGTCAGTGGCTTGCATCCTGGCAGATAAAAATACTAATAAAAAAATGCTTTGTGAGCATCAAATATATGTATAATATATGTATAATGTATATTACAAATAATAAAGTGATATTCAAAGGTTTCAAAATTATTTTTAAATCAATAATAGATTATTTAATTTAGTTTTTTCACATTTTAGTTTTAAATATTTTTTATAAATTGAAATTTAATTATAAAATTATATTTGAAATCTGATTAAGTTTAAACATATAATACATTAAAAATTTTAATTATGACACATAATATGTACATATATATTTATATAAAATACCAATATATATTTTAATATAATAATATAAATAATAAGTAGATCATTTTAAAAAATAAAGCAATTTAGTAGTAAAAATTAAACCAATTTGAAATAATGAAATTATTATATAAAACATGCTCATATCTTTTTGTAAAAAAAAAAAAAAAAAGAAATATCATATACTACAAATATTTCACAATTTTGTTTCAAATTGTTTTAAATTTCTGAACTTTTTAATTTTAGTATTTGAAAAATTTGCTTCTTCCAATGATTTAAAAAAATTTTACATAAATCTCATTTAATTTTTTAAATTATATAATATAATAATAAAAAAAAGTAATATTAAACAAAAATAAATAATTATAAAATTAAAGATGAATAATATAAAATAATATAAAATAAATAATATAAATTTGTTTTTGATATAAAAAAAATTAATTTTAATATAATTAGGAAAATATTTTCCTAAAAATAAAATAAAATATTATATTTTTTTATTATAATTTTAAAAGAAAATATTATATTTTCTTATTATAATTTTTATATTTGTAAATAAGAAGTAAATTTCTGTATAAAGATGATATGGTATACATTGTAAAAATAATATAAATTGTGTAAAAATGTTTCATAAATGAAAATGAAAAAAGTAAGTCATATATATATATATAAATAAAATTAAAAATTATAATAATCTAAATGATAATTATCCAGTATAAAAGTTTTGCATTAATTATAAAATATTACTCTGCTTAATATATATATATTATATATATTATATATATAGAGCAATATATATAATTCTTATCGAAATTTTACAGATAATTTTTTTTACATTTGGAATATATTAGATAGAGCCACCATTTATTCAATTCTTTATTGTGCAAAACACTTAATATATCAGTGTTTCTCAAACATTGGCAGGCTAGAATATAATTTCTAATATTGAAAAAAATTAATAATTTTAAAACTCTACTTAATACATAAATAGTAAAAAAAAAAAAAAAAAAAAAAAAAA